TCTTTGGCAACTAAAGGTTACTTAAATTGTATTTTGTTGAATAATTTTTTAAAGGCTTTTCAGACATCAAAGCACAAACATTATGGGCAGATGTAGCATTAAATTCTCCCACCTACTTTTCTTCTGAGTGTGAAAATAGTCACCTTGAGTAATTTTTTTCCCTTGTTTGTGTATAATTAGCTTCATTGCTTTCTCTGATTGCTTTCATCTCCCCAGTATCTTCTACAGGTAGGTCTTTAAAAGAGCAGCTGCCAGCTTTACCAAGGCAGCTATTGGTGGGACACTACTGATGCAAGGAATGAGTTGGGGAAGAGTGAACTCCCAAGGGTCATGTGGAATTCTCCTCTCCTTAGGAAGTACCTCTGTGCCCCTTTTCTACTGTCACTTTATATCTATGGCAAACCCAGGTAAGGTACAACACCAAAGTGTTGCTGTTGTCATTGTATCTTTCTCAGTGAAGAAAAGGAAGTAAAAGCAGCTGCTTTTAGTTATTGCTTATTAATTGCTTTTCAGGAGATTATTTACTGAACAATAACAAAAAACCTTCTTAGAAAAGGACAGATAGGGAGTAGGGCAGTGTTTGAGCTGATGATGTTTTCTTAACACCAAAAAGTTATGGATTCCAGAGCAGAAAACCAAAAGCCTCTTGTTTTCTTGGAAAGCAAAAAGGGATGGGTATAGACACAGGGAGGAAGTAAGTTTTATTTTGAGAGACAGATGCATGCATAGAAACTGATTTGGGAAAACTGTAATGATTTATGGTTCTGTATTATGCAGCATTACTACTTAAGAAAAGCAGTTGTCCCCCCAGACCTATCAGGGCATATGAAGATATGCTAGCAAAAATATAATGTATAAAGCTAAAAAATAAATTTGTTGGAATTTTTTAAAGCCCTGTCAGAAGCACATTGCCATTTGAGATATATTTCTAAACTGATAGGCTAACCAGTTCAGAACTTTAAAAATAAAACTAAGACAGAAAAAAAAAGTCACAGACGTGAAGTCTGCATTCAAATATAACTGGTTGTACTGGTTTGGGCTGGGATAGAGTTAATTTTCTTCAGAGTAGCTGGTATGGGGCTATGTTTTGGATTCATGACCAAAACAGTGTTGATAACACAGGGATGTTTTAGCTATTGCTGAACAGTGCTTGCACAGTGTCAAGACCTTCTGTGTTTCTCACTCTGCCCCAGCAGCAAGTCGGCTGGGGGTGCACAGGAGGCTGGGAGGGTACACAGCTGGGACAGCTGACCCCAGCTGACCAAAGGGATATTCCATACCATACAACATCATGCTCAGCAGTAGGTGCTACGGGGAAGAAGGAGGAAGGGGAGATGTTCAGAGTTATGGCATTTGTCTTCCCAAGGAACCGTTACGCTTGGCAGAGCCCTGGTTTCCTGGGGATGGCTAAACACCAGGCTGCCGATGGGAAGTAGTGAATGAAATCTTTATTTTGCTTTGCTTGCATGCACAGTTTTTGCTTTACCTATTAAACTGTCTTATCCAAACCCATGAGTTTTCTCACTTTTACTCTTCTGATTCTCCCCCCGATACCCCTGGGGGAGAGTGAACAAGCAGCTGGGTGGGGCTGAGCTGCCTACTGGGGTTAAACCACAACACTGTGGTTTAACTGGTCTCTTAAAAAAGAAAGCAAAAAAAAAAATCCCACATTCACACATTTCAACTCAGCTAGATCTATTATTTTTAATAAGGCTTGGTACTGAAAGTCTATGCAACAACCTGGGGTTTTTAACTTACTGTTTGAAGAATAGAAGGAATTATAAGAATTAAAACATCTTTTGACTTAATGAAATTGGGGAGTGGGGGTGTTGTGTAATTACGTGTATGTTAAAGTGACTTAATGTTTACAGAAGGTAATTTCTTCAGTACAGTAGTACTAAAAAAATCCCAAAACATCCTGTTTATTTATAAGTGCTTTTATAAGGTCTTCTTGTAATAAACTTGTACCCCCCCCCATGTTACTATAAAATATAATAGATAGCATAAAATGTCAGCATTTAGGAATGCTACTATTTCTTATTCAGTCCACCAGAATACATATATGAACATTCTAGCTCCCACTACTGTGCCACCTCTAGCATCAATTTGCTTTACATTGATACAGCATTTGTCATTTTTCTTTGCTCTCCATAGCCTGAACACACAAGTTTCATTTAAGATGAAGTGCTTTGTATATTGACCTAGTCACTCATTAAGGCACTTGAAAAGAGTCAATTGCTTGCAACTGTGCATCTGTACACAGATCAATCCCAAGTCCCTGAACGAACTCATGTTAAACAATGTAAATGTTATCATAACCAAATGCAGAGTAATACATCTAGGAAGAAGGGTCATACCCAAAGTAGAAGATTGTATTCTTAAAGGCTGTGGCTCTAAAAGAGAAGCCAGCGTGCAGGAATGAGCAACTTGGTATAACCTCCTGATGCAATATTACAGGAATCAATGCAATCTTTCATATATTAGGCTTTTCTCCACCAGAACAGCAATGTCAAACCTGTTTGACATCATGCGATGTACACAGGAGCAATGCACACATTTTACAGACAGGTCACAAGACCAAAGAGACTGCAGAAGAAAGCTTTTTTTTTTGTGAGCAGGAAAACTGTCTTAAACCAGACAGATAAAACAAACAGAATTTCTTAATCAGGAGAACAACTAGCCATAGAATTTTTGCAAGGAGAAAACACCATGCACTAGAGAGCTCTCTGATCTGGGAGAAAGGCCTAACAGCTGAAAGTGGAAGCCAGACTGCTTAGTATACAAATTAAATTCCTATTAGCAATAAGCTACTGGAAAAAAAACCTGCCAGATATATGTCAGAAGCTGAAGAAACAAGTCTTCAAATCAAGATCTGCTGTTTTTTTAGAAAATATAAATATAACCAAACAGCAGTTACAGAACTCAGTTACATTAAAAAAAACTTGAGCAAATGGAAATAACTTATGACATAAAATCCTACCCATGCAACAGGATGGTTCCTACTATGAAAAAAACAGGAAAACAAAAGACCCAAACACACTAGCCTGAGGAAATTTGCTTCCCCTGCATCCTGCGTGGCCTTGGCTGCATCCAGGCGCACACTCTCCTCTCTCCCCCCTATTAATGTTAGCAATATAGTTTTACTATGACGTACTATGGTACACTGGTTCTCCCAACTATCTCACACCGCATTTGAAGGATAATGGAAACGAATAGGACACATAAAAGCAAGGCACTACCAAGCTGTTCACCTGAAGTTACTCCTTTCAAAAACCTGTTATGAAGAAACTGCTATTTGTATGTATTACAGGGCCAGTACACTGCTGATCCTGTGTAAAGCGTATTGTAAAGTGACCATATTTTCAAGCTTTTCCCTCCTCTAGAAATGCAACTTCCAAAACTAGGTTGCCATAGTAATTCTCTATTATTTAGAATATAATAGATACCTTTATTTCAACCTTTCCCCCTATACAGGCAAGGGCTTTTTTCTTCCCTTCTCCAGGCACAAGTACCCTGTGTTAAGCACAGATCAAGCTCTGATAGAATATTGTGAATGGTGGTAGAGGTATCCGTGTTTATTATCTTAGTAAGTAATTCTTCCTAGATCAAATTAAGTTATATTAGTATTCAGATTTGACAGAAGTAGCTGCTGCAAATATTTCAAGCTTCCTCAAAAGCAACGTTTGGCTAGAAACTCTATGGGAGAAAAAACTGGGGCAAAGGCAACAGAGCAGAATAAATGAGGTTCCCACCCTACCTTCAAATTACTGCAAGTTTTACTGAGGGAAAACGAACCTATAATCAGTGCTTTTGGCTCAGTCTGACATGAGAAATTCATGAGGCATTTCAAGAGTTCTGTGTTTAGCCTAAATATTAAGTGGGCATCAATAAAAAAAAAATTAGTTATAAACATTGAGACAGTCATAGTGACGTCTGGAGTTCTCACTACATGTGTGATCACAGAATTACAATCCTGGCATTGTCCAGCTGAATACAAGGAAGCACAAATCAACGTACAGTCAATGAACTGTTACATTCACTGTCATATAAAAATGCCACATGTACAGTTTTCAAGAAATCTCACTTCATGTCAAAGTCCTGTGGTGCAAGTTACAATTAAGAAAACTAATAACTGATAGTTAATTAACCCACAAACCAGGTGTGTTTCCCCAGCTGCTACAATAAGTAAAGCATTTACTTTCCAAGACAAAAGACCTTTGCATGCTGCTGTTGGAAAAAGCAGATTTTGTACTTCTGTTGACCTGTGGACTTCAAAATGTTTAACTGTTCCTATGTGTGGGACATGCAGCAGTCTGTAGACCATAATAAGCAGCTTGTGTTTAAAATAACGTATGTCCTCAAATATCTAACCTGAAACTAAATACTTGCTGCTTAATGAACTGACAGACCAGGCAAAAACCTATGAATGGGGTGGGAGAAAAATATTCTTCCAGCAAAACCAAAGTCAGCCTCTTCTCCAACTGACTGGGGACACTTGCTTCATCTTTTTTAATCAAACAAACAACTCTTACTCAAATTCTGAAAGAGACATATATCCATTCACTCTGGCTGATGATGCATAAACCACTCAATTGTAGTAGACATTTAAAATAAAATAAATAGCAAGCTTTGGTTCCTTAAAAAGGTTAGCATACCAACACAAGTAACTTGAAAATGAAGTAAATTTGCTAAGAGTGCACTTACACAGAACTGAGGTACAGAGATTGAGGTAGTCACAGATTTATATGATTGCAGATGGGATAGAATAAAAATGCTCTATTTCTGAAAGTGTTGGAATACTAAATTTTCCGCAGTGACAGTATCTGAACAGTCACACATATCATCAATATTCAACAAGTGTTCCCTAATGAAAACACAATTATTTTAATCAGTACTTTTATAACGGTTCACAAAGACAGTACAGCACAACTGAAGAGTGCAAGCAGTTACGTCAACAAAACTTGCCATGCCCACTGTGCCTGAAAAACCATGAGACATACCTGATTACCGCTTTTTGCGGCAGAGTTGGTCTGAGCTGTATTTGAAGAAAGGGAATCAAAAAAGGCTTGGTCAGCTAATGAGTTACCACAGCTAATTCCATCTTTTGCACCTTCGGTAATAATCTGAAATGGAAAAAGTTGCAAAAGATTTTTCATGCTTCCATTAATCAAATTATGTTGTTTATCATATATAATCATCCTAACATCCGTGTCACTAAACTAAGATGGTTGCATACACCCTTTTTGAATACAAATTCAATAGAACCTTTTACAAGAAAATGATGTGATAATCTGGAAGGTTTACTTCTACAACAAATGGAATTGGTTTGTATTATAACAATGTAACATGCAAGACTGTTGTAGCAGTGGACACCTATCTATAAATTCATTAGGCCTTAACAAAGTTGTTAACATTACTGCTCGGAAACTGGGAACTGAATACTCAGAGGATCAGTTTGGGACAGCAAGACTGGAGAGTCAAAAGCTACTAGACCATTAGCTAGCCACCTGAAAACAAAAACAAGGCCATGTGAGCCAGCATCTTCCTCACACACCACACCCCCCTCCCTTAATTTATTTATTTATTTTTAAAATAAAGAAAGCACTGGTGAAGGAAGGGAAGCACATGCCTTAAGAGGAGGCTGCAGGAATTACAGCCAGAGTCTTCACCTAACCGGCAGCCTGCAGACATACAGACACAGGGCCTTCCAAAAGTGAATTGGATTCCAGTCTTTGCATTGGGACCCCCGTTCTGTTCCCACCGCCATACCACCAGTCTTTAAACAAAGAGCAGATCAACACACACTGAAGAGACAGCAAAGGCCCTCAGGAAGAAGATAAGCTGAGTAGTCCCTGGATTTGGGATTCCATATCCTCAATCCCAGAAATGGGGTTCCATTCCAGAGATTTATAAGCATGCGGCAAATGAGCCACAGCAACACAAGTGTAAACTTGCATTACTCATTTCACTTCCATATCTGTATCTTCAGACAGGAAAACAAAACAATTATTGGATCACGAGACCCCCAAAACAAGACAACAACTAAAAATAGCTCATGTTCTGCAGATCACCAGTATTTACTACAGACAACTTCCTGCTGCACTTCTTGGGAAACCACTAAGAAGCACAGTAGCTTTGAATGGCATGTTTGCACTGGTCTCCAAAGCCAGCTACAGTTGCTACAGTAAGATTACATATTCCAAGCTTTAACATTGGAAGTTTTATGTTTGAGCATTACAGTCTGATCAGCGAACCAGAGGATGGCCTTTTCAGTAGTTCTGCTTTCTAAGTGCAGAGCAGTGGAGTCACTTACTTCAACATAATCTGTTGGAACAAGGCCTCTCTCGCCTTGGCTGTTTTTTCCTTCTAACCAGCCTCCACCGACATCCTAAAAGTAATAATACAGAAAGAGTTTTGTTAGATGGATCCCGCAGCATGCTTTAAACAGCTCAGGAGGATGCACTGTCTTGCTGTCACATGCAATGTTCGAAATACAGTTATGACTGTATGACCGTGAACAAATTCGCATAAATCTGCTGAAGTAGCAGATACTCATTTAAACGGAACACAGACTGTGCTTCTTTCACACAACTATTGCGGACTTTAGATTTAACTAGCATGAGGGGAAAAAAGGTTGACTTTCAGCACTTTTGATCATTTATGAAACCACAATCAATTGTTTGGACACAGACTGCATCAAAACACAGCTATTAGAACGCCAATTCCAAAGCATTAATTTTAATCAGATTATAAAGAAACAAGACTCAAGAAATTAAGCTAATGGTAATATCTGTAAAATCTCTGCAGGTGCAGAGGTGTGTGATGAGTGGGAGCTATAACCCACAAAAATATTAAGGATAATCTCAAGATTGAGAGGCACATACCATGCAAGATCTGGAGATACTTTCTAGTTTACATTCAATTTCAGAGGCAGGTCTCATGCTATTAGTTTGGAAAGAACTAACACAGTTCAGCTCTGATCTCAGTGGGGCACCCTGTTTGTTGTTTTTAAACACGTATTCTGCATACACTAAGAAACCTTTGCAGACCATTGCAGTTAAGCAAAGTCAATTCCAGGACAACATTATCTAGAATAAGCCAGTTCTGTTTTAAATCAAGCTGTTCCTTGAACACACAGTTACATGTCAAGCTAACTCACAGCTGCAAATTGGAACCACATATGCTAGACAGCAAGTACTGAATTTCAGGTTTTCTTAATTTGCTTTTTAACAGATGTCTTTGTTTATTCACAATTTTGTTCTCTCACTTGGAAATTTTATGTAATCCTGCACATAGTAAGGAGAAGTCTGCTTATGTATTCAAGATTTTAAACAGTAAATAAATAACAAACTTTCATTTGCTTTTTCTGATATACCTAAAAGCTTACACTCAAGAACACAGAAACAACTAGACATTTCTGATTATAAATTCAACTAGCTTGGTTAAACTGCAAGAGCAATGACATCTCAAGCCAGATGTCACATTTGCACTGCTGCACTCAAGAGCAATCATCAGTGGACTTTCATGACTTCTGCTATTGCTGTCTAAACTTATTGTATCAAAAAAGATCAAGAGCCTTTGTGGCAATCTATCCCACAGTTTAATCATGGATAGGATAAAATAAAGTTTTACTTGGTTTTAGGTATATTGCCTTAACACACAGATGTCTTGTTCAGCAAGAACTAGCTTAAAAGCGGTAAAATATTTATTTAGTCCTACTTTTGTGAAACAGCATTAAACTCCTGAACTCATTTAAAATGCTACCTCTGCCACAGCACAGCATACTATCCAGGATGGTGCTGGTTCTATTAAATGGCTGCTTCAAATATTTAAGGTTGGTGGAACTAAAAATTACCAGGATTATACATAACTAGGCTCTTCAAAGAATTAGTTTATTCTGCAGAACCCATGTTTCCTATTCAACCAGATAAATAAAACCTGGCATCAAGATCAGGTGTTTTTTATTTATATGTGTTTTAAAAGGAAAGCCTAGTCACTGAGCCTATCACCTATATCAGTACACAAAAATCAAAAGCAGAATCAACTAACACCTTGTTACCAAGGGTAATAATTATACAGGACAATAAAAGTGCACTCAAATTCAAATTGTACATACAAATCAAATCTTAGTCCTCAAAAATACTATTAATTTAAGAACTTCCTGATAGTAATACCATAGTATTTTCACCACTCCTTCCCTGTACCTTGTCCAAATTGCTTAATTATGAAAGGACACACAAATTTAGTAACAGATTTTGTTGCAAGTTCTTTGAACAGACTTGGAATGCTGAAGTCGTTGATTAAGAAACTCAAAAACGAGAAGGGAACCGGCAGGTCAGATTTAAATGCAAGTGGCAAGCACCTGAAACACTGCATACACACAAAATGTGGAACATCAGGCACACAAAAAGACAACGTTCAGATGTAAAGAATATCACCATCATTAGCTCCTTCCTTTGCCTTGGCACTCAGCTCTAGAGGGGAACAAAGCTGAGCAAATTCCTAAGTGTTTAGGCACAATCTGAGAGGCCCCTGTCCTCCAAAACTGCTCACTGCATTTGTTTCCACAAAACTATTAGAAATTTTTTTGTATTTAGTTTATTTGCTAATTCTTCAGGGGAGGGTAGCCAGGGCTTTCGGATGTCACCTAGCATCCTTTTTCTTCCATCTGCTAGAAGTAGGTCAGGAAAGTGCACTGAAGCCTTGATTCCATCTCAGTTTTCTTACCGGGTTGGTAATTACGATGATCTCCCCTTCACTGACGGTCAGCTCATTGTTTCCAGGCTCAGCAGCAAAATCATACATAACACGAGCCTGAATGTGAAAAAGAATACAGCAGTGAGCCTTCCAGGTTATTTAGAAGATACGATGAAGGAAGTATCAGCACAACTTATTCCTAAGTAGCAGAAATAGTAAGTGGGTTAAGGCTGGATGTACAAAGAGCAACTCAGCATGTAGGAAGCTAACACTTCCTAAATTTGAACTCCAAACTGAACACTAACACAAAGTTTACAAGATTAAAATCTCCTGTGGAGCTTGTTAGAGATGATCATTATTTTCCAGGAGGATTCACAGTTTAAGACTGGCTGTTCTCTGCCATGTCCAGAACTATCTGGACAACTTTTTCCAGGGGAAGAAGGAAAGGCTTCTAACTTTAGCAAACAACCCAATTAATATTTTTTTTTTTTTCTACAAGACATATTCCAACTCCAGTTGGGTAAAGGGAACTGTTTCACAGAGCAAGCAATTCAGGAAAAGAAAAACAAGTAATTGCAGATGTAAGTAACCACTGCTGTACATAAAAAGTAATATGTAAAATTATATTTTGAGACTCTTTGTATACAGGAGGAACTATGCAAATGCACAGACAAACAGTGAGAGTAGGCCTGTTATGAACTGGCACGAAGGGGGAAGGAAAAACAAAGCCAACCTAATTTTTAAGTGTTCAGACACACAAAGGCTCTGCTGCGTACTGACTCTGCTACCACACTACATAAAGAAATGTTATGTTTGAAACACTGACAAAGTTGTCTAACATTTAAAGAACAGTTCTGCTTCTTTATACAAAGAATTGTGACATGGCCTAAGATTATATTCCCAAACATCTTTTCATTGTCTTCTATTAAATTCCTTTCTGATCTAAAAGTAGAGAAAGCTCTCAGGAATTACAAAGGGACTATGTTTATTTTCTCACAAACTGTTGAAATGGATGCAGACAGAAACCACATATATTTTCCCCTTGACTCTTAAAGCAATATATAAGTGGAAAGCTAAAACTTTGATTCTGAAGTGGCATATTAGATAAACTTTAAAACCTGACCACAGTAAACCCTTCATCTAAGCTTCACTCCCTCCAAAAGAAAATTCATCAACTAGTAGAACTTATAAAAGATAAAAGCCTTATTATTTACACCTCAAGACTTTATATTAGCCAGGTGCCCCAGATGTAATTAATACATTAATTTATCTGATTGATGCCAATACTGAAGTATCAAAGAGCAGCAAAAGGGAAAGCTAGACTACATGTCAGGAAAGGCAAACAGAAAGATTACAGATTTTAACAGACAGTGCTCACAGAACAAAACAATCAATACTCAATACAGATTACATCATCACCCTTGTTTCTCCAGCTCATAGAGGACTGAGAGCAGCAGAAAATTTATTTCAGCAAACACACCAATTTCCCTAGTGCATCTTGAAAGAGGCAAGGCTATGGTCTCATCTTCACCAGTAAGACATATGCTTTAGTTACCTCAGCTCATACAGAAGTGGGCTTTGTTCCTGCAGATTAAAAAACTAAATCCAAGAAAAACAATTTTATAATGGTGTCACTAATAGTGTCCTTCTTGTACTTGGAGGTCAGGGGGAATAAAAAAAAAAAAACAAAAACCACAAACCAAAACACACATCTAATTGTTTCGGTCATAAAGATGACAGAAAAATAATTTCTGTTAAAAGCAAGTTATATGATAGGAAAAAAAAAATACCAAAAGACAGACGTTCACTATCAAGCCTTGCCTGTCTCGAAATTGCAGGTTATGATCCCCACCTAGACAGCCCTTCTTCTGACATAAAACCAGAAAAAACACAACTTTCCTCCCCCATTTTAATTTAATAAGTATCACGTGGAAATACTTCTGGCTGGTCAAGAGATACTTCAGTGTAAATAAAAACAGAGCCAAGAAAAAACACATATGTTGTCATTCAGCTGACAAAGTGTCCTGATTTCAGCTGGGACAGAGTTAATTTTCTTCCTAGTAGCTGGTATAGTGTTATGTCTTGGGTTCAGTATGGGAAGAATGCTGATAACACACTGATGTTTTCAGTTGTTGCTAAGTCCTGTTTAGACTAAGTCAAGGATTTTTCAGCTTCTCATGCCCAGCCAGCAAGAAGGCTGGAGGGGCACAAGAAGTTGGGAGGGGACACAGCCAGGACACCTGACCCACACTGGCCAAAGGAATATTCCAAACCATGTAATGTCATGCCTAGTATATAAACTGGGGGGAGTTGGCTGGGGGGATTGCTGCTCGGGAACTAACTGGGCATTGGTTGGCAAGTGATGAGCAATTGCATTGTGCATCACTTGTTTTGTATATTCCAATCCTTTTATTATTATTATTGTAATTTTATTATTGTTATTATTATCATTATTAGTTTCTTCCTGTCCATTCTATTAAACTGTTCTTATCTCAACCCACGAGTTTTACCTTTTTCCTTCCAATTGTCTCCCCCATCCTGCTGGGTGGCGGGGGAAGTGAGTGAGTGGCTGCTTGGTGCTTAGTTGCTGGCTGGGGTTAAACAACAACACAAAGCTCATCCTGAACCATGTGCACAACAAATCAAACACTTTGTCTTCTCCACTAGAGAAGCACAACATTGCAGAAGAGTCCCAAGCACTCTGAATGCTTCCTTGCATGAAAGCTTTTCCCTTAGAACTGAGGCTTTCAGCACTTGCAGATTATGCCATGCAAAACCAAGATGAAGATGAGAAAACTGTTTTCAATAATAACACTGAGTGCTTTCCTTCCAGCAGAAAATCAGGCCTCCATGCAAATATAAGAATATGCTGCCTTACTTTCCTTAAAAAGTAAACTGAAGAGAAGCAGCATACCTTTTGAAATACAAGAACATTTTAAGTAGGGGTGTAAAAAGCACCACCCTCCAGGCCTTTCCCCTCAACAGTAGTAGAAGGTGTTGAACATGTCCTTTTTACAGCAGGTTACCAATACTTATCCAGATCCTGCAAGTCAATTTAACAATGCTCAGATGGTAGGCATCTGAACCACGGGGAAAGCAGCTTTCTTAACCAGGGAGCCTTCTTAGCCTTCTTCAAGTAGACTGTAGTATTAAGTCCTTGCTTTTACTCACAGGAATGATGAGAGCTCACCAGGACATGGGCAGATTTTACCAGCCTTCATTTTTGCCTTAGTGCAGTTTAAGAGATTGAAAAGAAAAAAGATTTTCAATACTGCAGGAATGGATTATTACAGAGCATTAAGCATTTGAGGTACGTCTGTAACCTGATCCATATATTGATGTCTCAAACACATTCCCCAGATTTTTTTGCTGGTACTCTCCATTTCACTTGCATTTCTGGGCTCATTTGCCTAGTTTGGGAATTAAGTCCCTAAGAACTCCTGGCAAGTAAGCTTTAACACTACCCTCCTACTGTTGAGATTTAATGGGAAAAATAGTATAAACTCAACCAATTCCAAAGTAAGTGAAACTAAGTGACTAAATGTTTTCCCTCAATTTAATAAGTGTATTGTTAACAATGGAAAACTCTGCCTCTAGCCTTTCCTTGGGCAGAGGCATCAGCCCCAACCCTATTTAAATTTTTGACAATCAGTTCCAAAATACTATAAAAAGGGAAATGGTTTGGTTTTGCAATAAATTTTTTCTACTTACTGGCCACAAATATTACAACCAAGTAGCAGTTGTGGCTTAGATTTAGATCTTTGCCACTTATGCAAAATAGTACGTGGGCATGGAAAAAAGAAAGCATTTCACCAGAAGAGGATTTTAGCTCCTGGGCACTGCAATACATGCATCGAATATTAGGTCTAAGGTTATGGACATTTTGAATATTTATAAAATTGCAATCTCTGACAAATTCCAAAGATCACAGAATGAACACCACAAAGGCAACTTCTTCAAGGCACAGGTTTTAAAAAAACAAGACTTGTTACAATAACTGTTGCGCTTCATATTTACTTCTGATCATATGTAAAAGGATCAAACAATCCAAGAACTTTAGGAACTTCAGAGATTCAAACATTTCATTAGTGGAATAATGGCCATTGCTTCATTTACAGAATACTGCAAATCTGCAAACCAAATAAGAATTGCTAATCAATCTATTAGCTATAAGAAAATTAGTTTCTTTTACTGACTGCACTTATTCTCCCCCCCCCATCTACCCCATCCCCCCCCCCCCAAGATACAACTGGTTCTGGATTCTGAAGTTGCTTTGTCAGATCCTTTGAGAAAAAGGACTGCTAACCCAAAAGTTTAAACAGATTTCATTGACCAGAAAGCAGACCTGGTCATTGCAGTGTATACCTACTGCCTCCCTTTGCTCAGGTGGCAGCGGAGCTTCCCGCACCTCCACTGGGAGTTTGTAACACAGTTCATCTCATGGTCCCTCGCATGAGAAAAGGCCGGCACTGATTAAGCAGAACCCTGGCACAACCACATGCCAAGGAGGAAAGGATCTCTGATCCCCAGCATCTCTGCAGCTCTGGCATATATGGCAGTTCCTCTGGAATGAGAGGGAGAAGGCAGTTTTCTCTACGAGTTGAGAACAGAGGGAAACCAGTAAGAATTTGTCCTTAAGGAAAATGAACTTTTCAGGAGTATGGCTATAGACAATTAGATTCTAATAAGGAGAAGAAAATAGGAAAACAGTAATTCTCAGTGTTACATCAGCATTTTTTGGAGCTGGTTCTGTCTGCTGTAGTTACACACCTGGACTGCAGTTTCCCCATTTACAGATTTACTGACTTATTACAGTGTGAAGCCTCTCAACTTCTAGAAATTCTAGGCATTGCAATCAATTATTATTACTATCTTTTTAGAATGATAATGGTAATGGTGCCTAAGTATATTAAAACACATGAGAGTCTTCACATTGAAAAGCAGCACTTAGATTAGTGAAAGTATTACTCCTCTGCAGACCTAGAGCAGCCTTAGCTTTTCTCCATTACTTACACTTCTGTCTGAGTTGAGTACCTACACCCTCTTCTCAAAATATTAAAAACCAAGAGAAAAAATAACCAAGATCATTTGCCAACTTATTTCTGCAAGCAGA